CACCATAAACATTCATTAGAGAAAAGATGGCCTCTTTGACAAATGGTGCTGGGGAAACCAGAGATCCAAATGTAGTAGAATGAAATTGAACCCCTAACTGTCAACCTGCACAAAACTCAACTCAAGAGTGGATCAAGGACCTAGGTATTAGACCAGAAACCTTACACCTAATAGAATAAAATGTAGGACCAACTCTCCATCATGTCAGCTTAGGAATTAACTTCCTCAACAAGATTCCTAAAGCATATGAAGTACAATCAATAAATGGGATGGTATCAAACTAAAAGGCTTCTTCACAGCAAAGGAAACAATCAAGAATGTGAAGAGAGAGCCTATAGAATGGGAGAAAATCTTTATCATATGCACATTTGATAGAGCATTTATCTCCAGGATATACAAAGAATTCAAAAAACTTAATATAAAAAACTCAATCAATAAATGAGGAGAAATGAACAGATATTTTACAGAAGAAAAAATATGAATGGTCAATTAATAGATGAAAAAATATTCAACATTTCTAGAAACTAGAGAAATGCAAATCAAAACTACACTGAGAGCCCATCTCACTCCAGTCAGAATGGCAATGGTCAAGAATAAAAGTAACAATAAATGTTGGAGAGGATGTGGGGGAAATGGTTTACATTGCTGGTGGGACTACAAATTAATACAACCATTATGGAAAGCAGTCTGAAGATTCCTCATAAAACTTGGAATGGAACCACCATTTGACCCAGTTATCCCGCTCATTGGTATACAGCCAAAGGACTTAAAAATAAAGCATACTACAGTGACTCAACCATATCAATATCTATAGCAGCTCAATTCACAATAGCAAAGCTATGGAGCATTTCAACAGATTCAACAGATGGATGGAAAAAAAAGTCACACACACACACACACACACACACAAAATGGAATATTATTCAGCCATAAAGAAGAATGAGATTATGGCATTTGCTGGAAATGCATAAAACTGGAAACTATCATGTTAAGTGAAATAAGCCAGTTCCAAAAAATCAAAGGCCAAATGTTCTCTCTGATATGTGAATGATAACACACAATAAGGGGAGGGGGAGGGAAGAACAGAAGTTCATTGGATTAGACAAAGAGGAATGAAGGGAAGACAGCAGGGATGGGAATAGGAACGACAGTGGAATGAATTGGACATAACTTTTCTATGTTCATATATGAATACATAAGCAGTGAAACTCCACATGGTGTACAACCACAAGAATAGGATCCTAATTAGAATACGTTATACTCCATGTGTGTATAATACGTCAAAATACACTCGACTGTCATATATATCTAAAAAGAACAAATCAAAAAAATTGGGGGGTAGCTTCCTGACAGCAATCTCCTCAGTCACTCCACCAAAGCCACCCCAAATATATACACAGTCTTAGGTAAAAATGTGTTTGATATGTTAACTAAAACCACAAGTTCCTGTCAGCCCCATTTCCGATCATATTTGGAAGTCTCTTATCTATATAAGATATAAATTTTTGAAGTATTCCTAACAGAAGTAAATATAGTAAAGGAGCTAAAAAAAATTTACTATTTTAAATTTAGTCATAACCTATATTCATAAAACAGAATAATATAGAAATACAAATTGATATGAATGATATTACATATACAAATACAGTATAAAATCATAACAAAATTTGTATGTGTATATTTCCATATGTACATGCATATATAAGAAAAGAATCAAAATTTGGAAAGAGCTCCTAACTCAAGTAACTAGAAGCTAAAGAAAAGAGAAAGGTTAAAGGAGCTTAATATTAGAGTCACAAAGCTGACAAATTAATACAAAAGGTAAGAATTGTAAATGAAATTCAAACCAAGAGTGATGCAGCTGTTAAAAATTTAGCACTTGCATATAAACCATGCCTATTATATTATAACAGGCAGCCAGTGTGATACTTTACACAGACTCTCAGTACATAGCTGGAGAATGAATAATGAGGGAAATGTAATAATGTAGCATTATTTTATTCAATCATATCTCCATGCCCTTTTGTTGTCCAAAAAACAATATAAGTAAATGCCAGGAAACTAATGGATGCCTTCTTTACACACAAACAAAAATCAAGGTTCCTTTGATGAGAGAGAAG